CTCTAGCTCGGGCAACACAGTGAGACTCTGTCTCAAAAAAAAAAAAAAAAATTACACTGAAAATTCAATTCCTTGGTCTCCCTAGCCACATTTCAACAGTTACCTGTGGTTAGTGGCACATATTGGGCAGCACACATACAACATTTCTATCATTGAAGGAAGTTCTACTGGACAATGCTAAACTAAGGATTCCACATAATATGTAAATACCAGTAATAAGAGAAATAGAAAATACTTTAGATGGTACTATTATACTTTATCTTAACTCAAGCTTGTCTAAAAATACGTACCTCATAAAATTGCTGTCATGTTTACAAAACAGTTGGAAGGCCACACCAATTGAAACAGATGTCTTCCAGTCTCCAAGTTTATGTGCCAACCACACAGCCTCTGGAACCAGGCCACCAATAAATAATAATTCAAGTGCATATTCCACTGTCCATACATTAGAGAGATTCTGATCTCTAACAACACTGGCCACCTTAGAATGCTGCAGAGGAATAAGTCGAAGGGACTGCTCTGTGAGTAAATTAAAGAAAATGGATATTATAATTACATATATCCAAAACTCATGTCTCCTTACATGGGTATATTTCTCTCTTCAATTAGTATTTTCTACACAAAACCACAGTAAGAAAGATACATACAAAATAGGCTATATTAAACATGCTCTAGAACAGTTTTTTAGCACTGAAGAATGTGCCTCATTAGTGGGCCATGAAACAAATGTCTAAATTCTTTAAAAAATGAAAGAGAAAAAACAGAAACAGAAAATATCAGAGTGCATTACACAAAATAAAGGTAAATACTGTTAAATGAAATTTTTGTATCAGATAACATGTACATACATACAAAAAACATTTATATATACTGGGTCACAATGTACAATTTATTACCATGGGCTGCTTGGAAGTATATGCATGTATCTCATACTAGATTATGAAATTTGGAGGGCAGAAGCTTCATTTTATCTGACTTTGCATTATCCATAGTGTCATACAATAAAAGACTAATTTGAGGTAATACTCGAGCATATTAAGTGTTCAATATATTAGTGTTCATTAGAAAATAGAAAAGTGTGATTTTCACTAACCCTGACTAAATGACAAGATTCCAGTCTGGCCTGGGATTTAATACAAAAGGGTAATATCCTTCCCTCTAGCCTTTTGTCCCTTTCCCTAAACTGAAGTAACTTGATAAAGCAACTTGAAAATATGATGACAGAAATGTCATTTTAAAAGTCTATGTTGGTAAGGTTTTTACTCATTCTCTTAAACGTGGTAAATAGGATACATGGGCTTCTACTTTTTGAAATTAAATGATTAGTTTCTCATGTGACTTATACAGGCCATCCCTACAGCAAGTATTAACATTTTAGGTCTTTGACAAACATATCTACATAAAACAAAAACGTTTTCAATCATTGGGATGTCTGATTCTGCATAGGCAAAAGAGCCAGGAGATTGACTAAATTTTTCCTATTTTTACTTATTATGAGCAAGGCAATATACTATTTTAATAACCTGAATGACTTAATTTTCTGAAAATTTTACTACTTTACGCAATAAAAAAGTTTACTACTTTTTTAAACATCACACCAAATAAGCTACTCAAATTTCCAGTACATTGTGCCATCAGTTCTGATTAGAAAAATTAACATGAAATGTATTCTCAGTTAAGACTGCTGATTTTCTCATTTTTCAAGATACTCAGAAACTAAAGGAATTAAAGCATATATACAAAATTTCAGATATTTAAGTTTTCAATAATTATAATCTTGGGCACAGGAAGAGAGAATACAAAAACCTTCTCTACTATCCTCACCTCTCACTAGGAAGATAGTTACATGGGGAATAAAAAGGTATGTTTCTGGGCTTTTATGAGTGTTTATAAATCTGTCAAAGAACAATTTAATAATTCTATCATCTTTCTTCCTAGAGAGTGATAAAGATCAGTCTTCCTTAGGTACATAAACTGACCTGTAAAGCTAAGGATCATAAGAAAACAGCAAAAGTCCTATGAATATTGTAGGATAAGAAAGACAACAAATTGAGAAAAATTTTCTAAGTACCAGGATTTTACTCTTTTTAGATTTTTCTGAAAACCACATGAAATACTGCCTGTCTTTATCAGTAAACTAAGTTGGGTCTAGGACACAATTTGTTGTCAGAAACTTTACTACCAAAAATAGGGAACACATGTGATGTATGCCTTGGTTATGACTAAAAAGAGTTTGAATACAAAACCATTATAATAATAACAAACTCTGTCAAATGTATGAGGAAATATAAAAATCTGAGAGTCTTGGAAGCATGAGGTCAGAGAAAGAAGCACAGACTATATTCAGAGAGAAAAGGCCGGGAGAGGCAGCTGTATCTTAGGTCTAACCAAGTAAAATAGGACATGGTGGAGGGAGACAGGGAAGCAGTCTAGATCCTGGAAGAAAGTGAGCACCTGTTTCTCTCAGGACCAATTCCTCTTCTTCCCAGGGAAGCAGGGACCTACTAGAAAAAGGACCACTAGAGAATAACTTTCTGGGGACCCAGCACCTCCTGCAAAACCCCAGACAAGACTAGAGAACACTGCAGTGGAAGCAGCCCAAGTGGGTGAGGATAGTCCTCCACTCCCACCCGCATCCTCAGACAATCACAGAACATAAGAGGCTGAACACATAGTCCAAAAATCATGGTTCTATGATTATATTAGCTGACCGCTTGTTGCTGCCTCTATTAAATTTCTAATCACATTATAACCTGTACAACTCTAGCCTACATATGTATCAGTTCATGTCATCTCTGCTTAAAGCCTTCCAATAACTTCCCATTATACTTAAAATTCAGATTCCTTAGCGTGGCTTACATCATCTAGCCCCCTTTCTGACTGCATCTCATGTCACTCTCCACCTCACCCTCCGGTTTACAGACACACCACGCTTTTAGTTTGTCAAACACATCAAGCTCATTCTTGCCCTGGGTGGGGCTTTTGCACAAGCTCAGTTTAGAATGCCCTATACCCTGATGCATAACAAGGCTGGCTCTTTTTCGTTATGGAGAGCTCAACTGAAATTGAACTTCTCAGAGAGCTCCTCCTGAAACTCCCAATCTAAAAAAGCCACCTAGTCACATTACATTACTCTATTTTAATTCCCTCCACAACAATTATCACCATTTGATATATCTCACTTATGTATTCATTTATTTAATTGTCTGTCTCAACCTATTAGATGTAAACCCCATAAAAGAACAAGTCCTTTATCTGTTTTGTTCATGGCAGTTAGGATAAATCTGTTTCAGACATTTAAAAAAAACTACAAATGTTTTCACGTTATCAGTTTCATGTGGTGCAATCTGTAGTACCTAGAACACTGACTGGCACATAGCAGGCACTTAATAAAAATTAGTAGAATGGAGCTGGGCATGGTGGCACATGCCTGTAGTCCCAGCTACCTGGGAGGCTGAGGTGGGAGGATCACTTCACCAGGAACTCCAGTCCAGCCTGGGCAACATAGTGAGACACTATCTCAAAAAAAAAAAAAAAAAAAAAAATAGAGTGAATGAATATCATAGAAATTTGTGTATATGTTTATCTCCATGAGGGCATGGCAGTTATTTAGCACAGGATTAGGTATACTTTGACCATATTAATGCAATTATTAAATTTAAAAAGTAAATGGTCCCAATAAAATTATAGAAGTAAATTGTTTAAATAAAATTAAATTCTAAATCACCAGACTTGAAATTTGCTAAACGTCCACATTTTTATACAAATGAAGGTGGTAGCTCTTTTACTTTAAAAATGGAAGCTTTAGGCTAGTCCAACTGCAGTGGTATTTACAAGTAATTGATCACAACCAGTGACAGGTTTTGCTCCTTCTCCACTTCCACTGCTTCACTTGACTAGCCTGAAGAAAAACGTATAAAAAAAATTCTTTTTAAATGAAGCTTTATAAATATCAATTTGCCCAAATTTTATAATAAAAAATCCTTATTCAATAAAAACAAATCTGAGCAATTACCTTTCTCAGATTCTACTCCTTCACAAATATTAATAGTTACTGAGCATCTCCTATGTGTCAGGCACTGTGCTAGAACAGAGCTATTTCCGTACAATAATGATCTCTGTATAATTTTAAATATTTTATTATGTACAAAAAGAGAGGTGAGAAAATGACCTGTTTACCATATTACCTGTTTTAATATGAAGTGGAGGAAGAACGTTCACATTGTGAGGTGGCAAAATGCAAAGCTGCTGATTGGCGAAATAGGCGGCCATGAACCGAGCCATGGACCGGACAACTCTCACCGCAGCCTCAGGGTGAGCATTTCCAGTCATCCCAGCTGCACAGTGAGACTTCTCCGGAACTGCAGAGTACAGCAAACAACCAAAGGAGGTAAGTTCCCACCATTTTACAAGAAGAAAATTATAATTAAAATTTTCTTTTGAGATAAGCACCCATGTCCTATACAATCTAAGTTATTATAGGTATCCATACTTCTTGAACACAATTAAGAACAAAAATAATTATAGTTGACCCTTGAAAAACATGGGTTTGAACTGCATGGATCCATGTACACATGATACACACAATAAATAAACTGGAAACATTTTTGGAGATTTTCAACAATTTGAAAAAACTTGTAAACAACACAGTCTAGAAATATCAAAGAAATTTAGAAAAGGTATATCATGAATGCATAAAATATATGTAGATACTAATTTACTATTTACTACCATAAAATAGATACGAATCATTAAAAAGTCAAAATTGATCAAAACTGAAGCATACAGACTATACATAGTGCCATTTGTAGTCCAAGAGTCATGTAAGCAAACATAAAGATGAGGTATTAAATCATAACTGCATAAAATTAACTGTAGTACATACTGTACTACTGTAATAATTTTGTAGCCACCTCCTTTTGCTATCGAAGTGAGGTCAAGTGTTGCAAGTACCTGCTTAAAATGCCATGTGAGGCCAGGGGCACGGTGGCTCACACCTGTAATCCCAGCACTTTGGGAGGCCAAGGACGGGATGCTGAGGCCAGGAGTTTGAGATCAGCCTGAGCAACATAGCGAGACCCTGTCTCTACAAAAAAATAGAAAAATCAGCTGGGTGTGGTGGCACACATCTATAGTCCGAGCTACTCAGGAGGCTAAGGCAGGGGGATGGCCTGAACCTGGAAGTCTGAGGTTGAAGTGAGGTATGATGATGCCACTGCACCCTAGCCATAGCAACAGAGCATGACCCCATCAACAATAACAAAAGATGTCATGTGAGGCTAATTGTCTCTACATGGGCAGTCTACCTCTTCTGTAAATATGCGTATTGTCATAAAAAGTGATCTCTCGTGATTCTCAAATATTTTTCATTATGTGTATTGCAATATCACAAACCTTGAGTAACATCATGGGACCCATACAAAATGCCACAGTGATCCTGGGAGTACTCCCAAGAATCAGAGAAAAGTCATGACATTACAAGGAAAAGCTGAATTGCTTGACGTGTACCATAGATTGAGGTCTGCAGCTACAACTGCCTGACATTTCAGACAGAGGAGTCATCTTGTAAACAGACAACATAAAGTTACGGTATCGATAAACACAGTACAGTACTGTAAGTGTACTTTCTCCTCCTTATGATTTTCTTAATAGCATTTTCTTTTCTCTAGCTTACTCTATCCTAAGAATTCAGGATACAATACATGTAACATATAAAATGTTTTAACCAACTGTTTATATTATTGATAAGACTTCCTGTCAACAGTAGGCTATTATTTGGGGGAGTCAAAAGTTATACATGAATTTTCACCTGCACAGGGGGGTTGGCACTCCTAACCCTAGCGTTGTTCAAGGGTCAACTGTAGTTCGTAATTATGAGCATATACACTTAGGAACTGTTCACAACTTTTAACGGTTTTATTTTTAAAATGGAGGAATTGGGAGGGAAGGGCATGCCTTTAACCCACATTTGGGTGAGGCAAAGACATAAAGTGTAACTATAATGTTTGTACCCTCACAATACCCTGTAAAAATAAAAAATAAATAAATAAATAAAACGGAGGAATCACTACGAAACAATCCAGCCATGATGGCCTTACGAGCTTAGCATTGCATTATTTATTTTCTCTTTTTTCTGCTCTTTCCATGTTTTTTTTAGGAGGGGACAGGGCTCACTATAAAAATATGAAAAACACCAAAACAGAGATTCCTTTTTTTTTTTTAAACACATTCTTAATGCTTTTGTCTGTACTATTAGATCTGAGCATTCTAATATACTCCCATTAGCAACAGTGGCTTAGGAGTATAAGATTCTTTGGGGAGGTAGTGGCAAAATGAATGTGTGCAGTGGAGAGAGAAGGCCAGGGGTAAGTGGGAGGGAGAGTTACATCCAAATTTCTGGGGTGATTCTGATATGCATTAGCAGGAGCAGAGGACATTTACCATTCTCACCTGAGAATCAAAACTCAATAATAATATAAAGTAGCATCCAGCAATTTGAAAATAAATTAGTTTAAAACTAAAGACTGTATAGATAAATACTAAAGTTAATGTTAATTTTTATGAAATTTATGGCCTCAACAAGAGAAAGGTATCTTTCTTCCCAGAAATTTGGTACGTATTCACAGGAAATTAAGTTCTATATGTGTATGGACCAGTTCTATATGGACCAGTTCTATTTTGTTCACTGTATAACTCAGCACCTAGCAATTCTCTTCTCATATAGTGGGCACTGAAAAGAATATTGTTAATAATAAAAATGTTTGCTAGGTTTTTTTCTTTAATAAAAGGGATCTTGAGAAAATTTTACTAGCCTTCAAGCAGCAGTCTTCATTTGGTCACTATAATGTTTAGAAAAATCATACCATTTCTTCATATTCAAGTTAAAAATACCTAAGTAAGAATTTTTTTCTCCTGGGTAAAACTAACTGTAGGAATTACACAAAGGCAAGATTTCAAGTAATTTTTATCATGCAAAATTCAGAAATAAGCCCCTTAAAATAGGGAATAACCTGATTATAAAAGTTATTGTCACATAGTAAAGCTGTATCAATTTAGAGGCAAAGAAAAAATCTGAAAGGATAACTTTATATGGGGTGCAGTAATAATGTTAATAAAAGCAACCATTTTATTATGCAATAGAACTATATACAATGATTTAATAAGGTAGGTATGCAGGAAAGAATTAACATAGTAGGACTGACTACTTGAAGTGCCTGCTTCTAAGGTTGGCCCTTGGCTGGTACCTGGAAACTTGCATTTTGGGAAAATTTCTACCACCCTAACTGATAAGAATGGCTCAATTAGCCTAAAATGTTTGTATTAGACAACATGGTTTATGTGCAACACCTGTTTTGACTATGCGAGCATAGGATTTTGGTATTGTGCTAGGTAAAAGGGGTATATGTGACTGGGCTCTAATAAAAAGCCTGAGCACTGAGGTTCTAATGAGCTTCCCTGATAGAAACATCTCACAAATGTCACAACTCATCACTGGGAGAATTAGGGACATCCTGTTTGACTATAATGGGAGACGATTCATGGAAGCTTGTGCCTGGTTTTTCTCCAGACTTCACCCCATGCACCTTTTCCCTCTGCTGATTTTGCTCTGTATCCTTTCATTGTAATAAATCATAGCTATGAATACAACTATGTGCTAAGTCCTGTAAGTCTTCCTAGTGAATCATCAAACTTGAAGGGTAGTCTTAGGGACCCCCAATCCAGTAAGTGTATACATAATATATTTTAAATAATCATTAAAAATTAAAACAAGTGAATTACTATAGGTTCAACTTATCTTTAAAGTTAAATCATGTAAAGACAATATTGCTAAAAAAAATGAAGACTATCCAGTCATTTAAAAAGTCATATGTAAGGCCAGGTGTGGTGGCTCACGCCTGTAATCCTAGCACTTTGGGAGGACAAAATGGGAGGATTCCTTGAGGTCAGGAGTTTGAGACCAGCCTGAGCAAGAGTGAGACCCCATCTCTACAAAAAATGGCAAAATTAGCCAGGCATGGTAGCAAGTGCCTGTAATCCTAGCTACTTGGGAGGCCGGGGCAGGAGGATCACTAGAGCCCAGGAGTTTGAGGTTTAGTGAGCTATGATGATGCCACTGCACTCTAGTCTGAGAAACAGAGCAAGATCCTGTGTTGAAAAAAAAAGGTCACATGTCTTTCACTCATACATAGCTAGTGGACCTTTCTGCAGGCCAATTTGACAACAGGTATCAAAAGTCTTAAACCATGGGTACTCTGATCAAGTAAACTCATTTCTAGGAATTTATCCTAAAGAAATTATTTGTGAAATGCTCACAAATATTTATGCACATTTCAGCATTATTTAAAATATTAAGTATGTGGCAACAATCTAAAATGTGCAATAATGGAGAAAAGGCTCAATAGATGTTTATAAAAGAATGTTTATTGACATTGGAAAATACTCA